TTCCCTATAACTTGTCTATTGCAATTAACACTTACTTAGGCGGCGAGGCTTACCCTTCGGGAAGCAGTTGGGTGGAAGCTCATACTCAAGCTTGTGGGCGCGAGCAAAATATGCATTATGGAAGAACGTGAGTAAATTGCGCCGGCATTATAGTATCTATATGTGTCAACTTAATATTTACATACCACGAGATGGATCGACGGTTGTTCGCTGCACAAACATGACCCCTTGGCAAAATATCTCCATGGCCACTGCCGGTATGGCTGGCGATCTTTTCTGGTAGTGGGACGAGACCTTTGTTTCTGGTTATCATATTCCGTTTACTGCAGCACGTCGGATTGACAATGCATAGGTAAAGACCATGTCACCACAATTTCCGGCAAAGCCCATCCTCCATGTCGACGACCGTTCATTCAACGACAACTACTTCTTCAGTCTCGGCACCTACTTCCAGCTGTTCCACCCTATGGGGCCAGTGTAAAGACCTTATCCTGGTGCAACATGCTGCACTCAAAGAACTTGCACATATCCTAATGACTGGTGCTCATAGTTTCAGCCATAGTTATAGTTGGATATGCACTTGAGCAATCCAGGTTGTATGTAGTTGCCTAGCAATGGAATAGAAATGCTTATATTTTTACCCTATATGATGGGGCAAATGTGTTTCTGACTCTTTTATTGTTAGTAGAATAATAACTAGCATCAATTAGCCCACATTCTCTATTAGGAACAATTCAACACTTAGCGAATTTTGCTACTGTATGATTTGAAGATGTGACATCATGAAAGAGTGGCATCGTTATGAACGCTTGGCCACCACAAGCCAATTATCTCTGTGGTTACGTTCTCCATTATTGCTTACTTTCAGCTAGCTAGTTACGGAAGTAAGGATCTTACCTCACGACCCATAAAACAATCTTGGATATTCTCTAGCCTGTGGTCTAGAATAATGCTAGTTTAAACTAGAAATGGACTGGGCTGAGATATGGGTTACCTGTCTACCCAAGACAGATTGACAGGGAACCCTGCCAAGCCATACAATAAGTCTTCTTCGAGACAACAAAATAAAAAAGAGTAAAAGCATTCAGGCTTGTTGTATCACATATCGTACCACTGCCTTGCCGTAGCAGCTCATAGAAATTTAATGGAAATGCGATTATGAACCAAATACCATGATGCAAACCTCTTGTTGAGAATTGTCGACATGCATGCAAGGCCGTTATGGGGATCGAGATCACTGTCAGCGATAGCAGCCACGAACTGATTTGCCGTATTCTGGCGCGTGACGTTTTGGGCAAATGTGGGACATGTCCAACGCATCACCGACGCGCTGCATTCAATGGATGAATTTGTTACTTGTCCAGCCTCATGTATGATGCCGTCACATCTCCGCATATTCCAAATATGATATCGGGCACCAACCCACAATTTGGTGAGATAATGAGGCTCACAAATTAGTGATTTTGTTCCTCTTTGGTCCACGTATCAGTGCAAGACCCCCTTCACGATGAGTTGGGTAGCTAGGCATAATATTGGCATGCGGGTTTTTGGGAATGGAAGAAGTCGTATTTCAACCGCTGCGTATTTGGCGCCAATGATGCTGTGGACGTGATGGCCATTCAATATCGTGAGATGGACCTTGCATTTGCATTGTGCCCAATATGCACTCACTGACATTAGCCGGCATTTCAGCTTGGTTCTAGCAAATTGTGAGCTTGTGACTTTGTGCAGCGCGGCTCTTTCCATCGTCATATCTCAACATCTGCGTCACTTTATAGACCGCATGCATGATCCGCCAAGTAACACTTATAAAGAAGCCAGAACCTGCATGAAAGTCGGTTGTGCTACGTGAGTTCAAGACTTTCTTCTAACAAGAGCTGTTGTCATTGAGCGCAGACATCAGCCACAATGGATGACTTGCATATGCCATATACCCATGAAGACTACACCATTGGATGGGTCTGTGCATTACCAAAGGAGCAGTCAGCTGCGATATTTATGCTGGAAGAGAGACATGAAGATCTTCCCAACCCATCAGGCGACCATAATGCATACACGCTCGGAAGTATCGGCAAACATAAAGTTGTCATTGCTGGCCTGCCCAAGGGCAGAGTTGGCATTCACAGCGCAGCAACAGTTGCAACCCGGATGGTATCAACTTTCCCCAACATACGAGTCGGCCTAATGGTAGGAATAGGTGGAGGCATTCCGCAAAAGACTCGGCTTGGAGATGTTGTCATCAGCTGCCCCAGCGGTACAGAGCCGGGCGTCATCCAGTGGGATATGGGAAAGGCAGAGGCCAATGGCCAGTTCGTACGAACAGGGTCTCTGGCTCCTCCACCAACGGCCTTACTCACAGCACTAACGAAGTTCGAAGCCGACCAAATTACAACACGAACTAATATGCTCAGCTATCTAAAAAGCCTAGAGAGCATACCCAACATCCCAAAAAGCTTCCTCAGGCCTGACTCTCTCCAGGACGTCTTGTACGAGTCAAGTTATAGCCATAAGGAGGGAGACGATTGTCGCCTTTGTGATAAAGAAAGGGTGGTCCAAAGAAGCCCAAGAGAAGATGAAATGATGATTCATTGCGGCTTGATTGCGTCTGGCAACCAGGTGATCAAGGACGCAATTCTTCGCGATAAGCTCTACAAGCAATTCAACGACAACATCCTTTGCATTGAAATGGAAGCCGCGGGACTAATGAACGACTTCCCTTGCGTTGTTATCCGAGGCATTTGCGATTATGCAGATTCGCATAAAAACGATAAATGGCAGGATTACGCAGCCGCAACAGCCGCAGCGTGTGCAAAGGCATTACTAAAGGTGCTGCCCTCCAGTGAGGTTGATAAACTTCAACGAGTGCAACGTAAGTCCAAGTCCCATCTGTTGTGGGATTGTATCGAGCTAATACCTTTTACCAGTAACGATATCACCTGGCATCATGGAGGGTGCAAAGAGATACTTATCATTCTGGCGAGGTGAAAAGAAGGACGTCTATGATCCATCAGGTGCGCAATGATATACGCAGTCTACGATTCACCGGATCCTTCATTAATGTTTTATAGCAGTAATGGCTTCTCAAAAAGACAAAGCCGATGTAGAGCTCCCACAGACGTCGTTGCCTGAAGTGTCCAAATCGAGAGACACCAGCCCTGACGTGAAGTCGAGAGATGCTGGTCCCTCCGAGATGCCAACGCAGATACATGCTACCGACACATCAGCACAGGCCGCTCCGACTGAGGTGTCAGCACAAACAAACTCTGATAAGATTTCCCAACCGGAATCAGTTGAAACATGGCTACGGGGAGCACCATCGTCTTTAGCAACGATGCTCCAACACGGGAATGTGGAGGATGCAGTGAGGCGTATCTGCATGGGTCTCAGCGAAATGATGGCTCCCCAAGGGAGAGAAAATGGAACTCAAGGCTATGTTACTGGCGGCGAAAATAGCCATAGAGACCATGGCCGCAGTTTTGAAGGTGAAAGCAGCCACTATACACCTGCATCACCACCTGAGAGGAGTAAAAGTTGGGGCGATACCCCATCTAAAGGTTCTGCGCCATTTCGAGAAGAATATAAGGGCTATGCTTCTCAGCAAAGTCACCACTACGGCAATATTGGTTGGAATTTCAACACAGCGCCATATCCTCCTCGAACTCCCTCACCTTTCCAACCAGATTACAAAGTCTACAATCACGAGCGGAGCCAAAGCTATGCCAATGACGGTACTATTCCTCATGCACCCCAAGGTTTGCCGAGGCCTCCTGCATATCCTCCCCGATCGCCATCACCTTTTCAAAACGAGTACAGGACTGCGATTCCTGAACAGCCTCATAATTACGGCTATAATGAATCTGTCCACAAAGCGCAAGCGCCTCCAAGTCTGCATGTATCTACTAAATATCCGAGCAACAGATATGAAGCTTCAGGCAATGGGGTAAGAGACTACCCATGGTCGCCTCCACAATCGCCGAAATCTCAACCAAATATGGGTCAGGATCGCAATATAAGAAGGGTTAGCGAGCCGGTGACAAACTACGCTATGAATCCGCCAGCATACAATCCTGGAACTGAAGAGGATGGTTTCTTCGGATACAAATATGGGGCTTACTATGCAGAGCCAAGCGCAATCAATCCTGATGAGAGGCAGCGTATTGCCCGTCATAGCCGAGATCGACAACCCTCGCCTGTGTTTGAGAATACACCAGCATATGACCGAGTCGCTAGGAACAATGATGTTGTCTTGGGACATCAACGTGCTCAACTCTCAGCACCAATCCCTGTTCACCCTACCAAAGGGCTGCGAAGCGCTACTCCTATTCCAAGCCAGCGCCCTCCTCTCAAAGCCAAGAGTACACCAGTACGTGAGCTAGCTACTAAAGATAATGAACGGAGCTTGGGGTACAGGAGGACTTGCTGTAACCCAGAGCCGAGCCTCGTGCTCCCTTCTGAGAGACGACGCAGCACTACTCCTAGTCAAGGTAGACAACCTCACATGGTCACAAGCAACAGGGCTCCCTTGGAATTGGATTCTGGACCTTCTCAGCCTCATTCTCGGCCGCCCTCCCGGGCCCAAGCTGTTCCACCTCATGTCATCAGAAACGTTCAGTCACAAAGGTTATCAAAAATACCACGACCGCTTCGGCCATAATGCGCCATACCTCTTTATTTGCCAAGGCCAGAATAAACGTTATTTGTAGCTTTAGAATGACACAAGTATTTTTTGTACTAACTGAGTGGGATTTCGCCCCTGTATATAATAAACGTGAGTGTAGGGTTATAAAGTAGATAGAGAGGATTACTTGTAGATTAAAAAACAGAAAATTACAATATCAAGACCGACAGTTAAGGATCAAGAGAGATCTGTTGCTATCTGACATAGAATATAGCTCAAAAAAACAAATCACCTGTTATGGGAACCAACGTAGAGAAACATTTTGACAATTTGGGTGGCATTGGTCTTTCATATCTGCCTTTACTCATGACAACTCTATTCGTGCATAGAATACTCGCATTATTAATGTGACCAGCTTCGTTTTTTCTCCTACCACTACTTCCGACCTATGTCTAGTAGCGCATTATTGTGAGTAATTACAAAGACAGTCACCGTGATTGGCTTTAATAGGCATTATACATAAATCATTCGCCCTTTTACGTCGCTAATACCACCTGCTTAATAAATACATTTCGCGTGGGGCCAAATGGAGATGAAGTTCTCAATAGGTAATCAACACACCAATGTAATCCCGATGGACGCCCGCCACAACCACAACATATATATCCATCTTGTAAGTAGAACATGGCAAAAAAAATGAGAAAAACATACAACAGCCGGTGTTCGCTGATGGTCACCCACTCAACTACTAATCTGCCGGTTAATGGCTTGTCTATGGGGGAGCAGACGGGACCCCGAATTTTCCACTACCTATGGTCGTATGTGAGAGGAAGCGCTACATGTTCAGTATATATAGCGACATCCAGAGTAAATACACCGTATAGCTAAGTTACAGCAGTGTAATTACTTTAGCACATGAGCAAAAATTCCCAATGTCAAGTTCTGGAGTATTACGGTATCCGTGGCGCCCCATGCGCTCTCAACTCCCTATATAGTCCCTATATAGACCTAATTTACGCATAAAAGTGGTTTCTTCATTTTATATTTAAAAAATAGGGAGGTCTCACGTATATAGTCTGTGAAAGGATATTGATGCAAGTGGTAAACATGCGCCATAAAGAACGGAAGAAAAAAAATGACAAATAAACCCACACGCCTAGGAGACTAATGTTATCATATCCGTCTTGAATGGAGACGAAGCATCATTAAACATTAAAAGGATACAACTATTCATAGGAGTCTAGCAGAAAGGTTCATGCGAGCCCGGACTTAACTTCTTCAGTTTTATTGCTGATTCTAGTCCCTAAGAGGTTGCCCTTGTGATGCACTCCTTGTCAGGGGTCTGGCATCCAGCAAAGTTCAGATCAACTTATGTCAGCAGTATTAGAGGCAATACACACCAATACTGACGGCAAAGCCGCCACCGTGCGTAAATATAAGGTGGAATAACGTACCTTGCGCAGCTGCAAGCTGTGGCGAAAGAAGGCGATCCAGAAAATGAACGGAATATTCGGCGTCGTTCTCCACTTCTATATATTCGTGTTCTCGTCGTCTCAAAGTTGTTACTCTCTAGACATAGCCCGCTAGCCCTACATACGTACTCGGGAAATGATAAAAAGAATCATTGCTCTTGATGCAACGCGTGGTATTCTTATATGTTATATTCACATGTTCGTCTGCTCTTTTGCACTGCAACCCAATTTGGGCAAGCTATCATGCAACATGCGATTAAAATATCTTCGCTGGAACTCGAAACTACAAATCCATTGTAAAATGCCGATGCTTTAACCCTACCCTTACGCTACTACGAATTCTTAGTCCGATCCTTTGCAAAGCGTACCATCACCAAATACACTTGGAAAGTTCAGAATGGACGTGTTGTCCATGCTCCAGTCCTCTTCCGCATCATCAAGTTCTCGAATTCTCGTCGCATTATATTCCCACGTTGGCTCGTTCGACTACCAGACATTTGCATCCTAATATACAAAGCATACAGCTCTACCAACCATTACATGCTGCCATTACACGGAGAACTGATATCTGCGTCTAGCACCGCCAACTGGATTCCTGATCATTGATCAGGATTTCCTCATTTACAACGCTAACATACCAGCCATACCCAAGGCAAGGCAAACCACCCCGGCGATCGAACCGCTTAGATATCTACTAGCACTCGAACTAGTCGGCGAACTTGAAGATCCCGAGGCAGTCGTTTTCGAAGCTGCAGTAGACACGGAAGTCGCTTCAGTAGAAGTAGCAGTTGCTTCAGTGGAAGCAGAATTTGACCCAGTGGAAGCAGGCGCCGAAGAGCTTCCTGTCCCGCTCGTAACGGCTTTGGAGCTTAGAGTGCCGCCAAATGGAGCATTTGGGCTAACACTGTTGTCCGTGTTTGAAGCAGCGGTCCTAAACGAGTCGAGTGTGTCAGAGCCCTGGTTGATGACACCTACCATGCCACCCTGGCAATGTGAATCGACAGCGCAATAGAAGAATATAGGATCGGTGTTGTTAATAGTAATCGAGAAAAACGTCTAGTGAGGTAATCTTAGTTAGCTAATAAAACGGTATGCGTCTCGGCTTCGGTATGAGAAAGAGTAAACCGATTAGGGTGTAAGAGCAAGAGCTCCGATGTTGGCTGACCTCATCACCCATTGGCATCGTGCCGGAATAGAATCCTCCACTGGTGGCGGGAGTACAAGGCTTATTGAAGTTGCCAGCAACAACACTGTGCATCGCATCGAAATGAAAGTCGACAATGTCTCCCTTATTGGCTTTGATGGTATCAGGGGTATATCTAAGTCCGCTCTGGCCAACTTCGACTCTGAAGACAGCAGCAGATGCCGGTACGGCGGCAAGCACGGCCAAGATGGCGAGGTTGAGGCTTGTGCAGTGCATGGCAGATGATTCAAAATAAAGTATGCCTACTTTTGATGGGTTGATTGCTCTGTCAAGGGATGTGTGGCAGTCTCCAGCAATTTATATATCGATGATGAAGCCTTGTATTCCGGGCCAAGAGGCCATTGCCCAGTCTGATAGCTAACATTTGTATTCTCCGACGCCACAGGTTTATGATGCACCGATCATTACATACGTAGTAGCTTTGTGGCGTACGACGCTGTAGCTGTCGCGATTAGCGTTTACCCATGAAGCTGATGGCTTGATAGCCTGGTCAGAATTTCAGATCGTGATACACTGAATCCCACCATGCTTTCCAGCTCGTATAATTCGTCGAATTTCTCAGAAATGGGGACTCTGCGCAGCGATAGCGACTGACACGAAATACCGTAAGCTCCGTAGCCACTGACACCATTTTGACTTTCCATTGGTTCTTTGGTGCAGCATCTAACAGCGCTTCAATGGATGCATTGGTGTGCTATCATTAGCCCGCGAATTGCGGACAAAAAGTCGATCCGACGTCGTTCCGCGACAATATATTGGTTTAGTAACAAGTCTAATAGCGGCAAACTGATGAACGGTACTCCCTTCTCTAATCTCACTATAGAGGATGTGAGGCAGACAACGGCATGCAATTGTGCCGTCTCATTACTACAGAGTACCAGCAAGGAGGACTGCCGATGCAAGGCGGGCGGTTGTGCTTATGCGGGTAGATTGACTTTGTTGCCAAAGCAGTTCTCACGACGGGCACCATAATTGACAACTGCATAGCCATGTTCTCTTGATGTCATTGGTGTGCAATACTGTGAGTAGGTATTACGGGACATATACATATGGAACGGCTGTATCGTTCCTCCGAGTCCATGGCCGTTTCTCCCGGCGCCACAATTGCCAGCCTCGTGGCAGAACCCGTATTTTATAGCCTGGAGTTTGATGGCTGGTGAACTGGTTAGCGGCAGCTGCTAAAGTGAACCTTCAGAAGCGGAGAATATATCTGAACACCGTACAACAAAAGGTTACAGTTGCTACGGCTAAATGGTTTAGTATTGCTATTGAGTTTTGGTAGGTGTCTGCCGCTTTGTAAGCCTTCTAGTAACTTTCGGACCTACCTATTCTTTAAGCGTGCGGTATTAGTTCTGCTTATATAGACCCATAATTTCACTAATCACAGTCAAAAAGCAATCTATGGCGCCTCATTATTGAATATTAATAGAATAAGAGTTGAAGCGGCCTGGTGAATTGTATCTTTTATAGATGGCGGCACAGTGTGAATCTCTTGGATCAAAATGCAAGATGACTACCGTGCCCGAATGCTATGAAAATGCCAGTCTATATATTCTGGTCGTCTGGTATTCATGTAATATTAGCTTTGCGCATTTAGTATACTTTAATCTTCAAAGTGTGATTTCCTCTCTTGGTAGTAAATGGAAAAGTAGTAACTATCCTATACCAAAGAAGGCATAGGTAAATACAGGCTCTGACTTTCAATAAGTTCTCTCACCAGCAACATTTAGCAACGCTATCCAGCTTATCCAGCACTGTATTGGCTCGTTTGACCGCATTACGAGTCGCGCTAATAAGCGTTGCCTTATAATGGACTTTGTACTTGGGCGTCCCGACAGCATGATTTGAAAGGTGTCCATTGAAGGCTGCACCGTATTGTACTCTCCAAGCCCCCTTGTACTATTTCCAACTTAAGCTGCATGAGATTTCATCTTGTTTTGGTATATCGTTACGAGCAGAATTTTGTGGCCTGTGTCAGATACTCGCCAGAGTTTAGCTTCCTCGCAACCAACCACGATGAAACACTCTCTAGTGGCTGGATTCATCCCCAGCGAGGCCGCTATATTTCCGGCTCGGAAAGACGGCTCCGGAACCGAGCATAGAGAACTATATATAGACTCATAGGTCTCTGTTGTAAATAGGCCCTTTTTTACTGATCGTTATGCCTGATATTTGCCCCGAGATAACTGCTGCTATTTGTGACCTGTATGATAGCTGCCATCGGTGCTATGGCGAGGTGTGGTTAGTGGTGCGTAACAACTACTGCCGCTGGGGATTTTTGCATGCCGAATAGAAAGGATTTCCAGTATTTATTCTATACAATGGAGGTTTGGACGTCTCCGGTCACATACTCCGTGGGTTGTCTTATAAGTCGAGATTATCTCCCTCTTTACGTCTCATATCACCCACCTCCATTTGTAACTTCGAGTTCACGTAAACTTCTTTCAATATGAAACCGTCAAAAGATATAACCGCGGCTACTGCCGTTGCATTGAGTGAGTTTTCAACGCTGGGCCTTTCGCGGGCTAGTCTGCTAACAAAGCCTCCAGATGCCGTCACAGCCTTAGCCGCCACTGCTTCATTCTGCGCCACAACAAACGTCTGCTTCCAATGGGGCGTACCAGACGCCTCCGCAAAGGCCGGCTCTGGCAATGTTTACTTCCAGCTCAAAGCTCCCACCTCTGAGCAATGGGTCGGCCTCGGCATCGGCAGCTCCATGCCCGACTCCAAAATGTTCATCATGTACCAGGATGGCAAGGGAAACGTCACGCTGAGCACGCGACCCGGCGCGAACCATGTTATGCCAATCTACAAGCCGAGAAACGATGTCACGCTCTTGAGCGGCTCTGGAGTAGTGGACGGCAATATGGTTGCCAATGTCAGGTGCGGCGGCTGCACAGATATTGATTTGGCGGGCTCGACGGACTGGATTGCGGCTTGGAAGTCCGGTTCGGCGCTAGATGAGACGAGCCCTTCGGCAGTGCTCATACAGCATGACGATACGAGCCAGTTCAGCGTCAACATGTCTACTGCTAGCATCAGCTCCGACTCTAACCCTTTCGTGGGAACTGCTTCGAGCTCCAACTCCGGTGGCACCCCTGGCGCTGTCACCGTTATCGGATCTAGCGACTCCTCAACCCAGACCCTCGGTTGCGCCCACGGAATCATAATGTCCATTGTATTCATCTGCCTCTACCCCGTTGGTGCTGTTATCATGCTGCTAATAGGAAAGTGGTACCTTCACGCTGCTTGGCAAATGATCGCTTTCTTGGGCATGTGGGCAGGATTTGGCCTCGGTGTTACCGCCGCTAAACGTCTCGATATTGTAAGTGAGGACCTCAGTCTACATGAATACTCCATGTAGCTAACCGTCTGACTCTCTAGTTTTTTGACCAGACCCACACTCGAATGGGCACCATTATCGTAGTCCTTCTTGCCCTCCAGCCTATCTTTGGATGGCTTCACCACGGTTACTATGTTAAGAACCAGTCTCGCGGCGCTATTAGCTACGTCCACATCTGGTATGGTCGCACCCTGTTGATTATTGGCACCATCAATGGCGGTTTGGGTCTGCAGCTTGCCAACCAGTCAAAAGGCTTCATTATTGCATACTCCGTCGTTGCTGGAGTTATCATCCTTATATACCTTGCCTCTATTGCCAGTAGGGCAATCAAGTCAAGGAGCAAACAACCACAGCATTTCGAGTTTTCATGACGCTGAACTTGAGATCAAAATCTGTGTCGCTTTTCCTATTGTTGAACCATAAAATATTTTTATGTGCTTGCCTTTTTGGCGTCAAGAATTCCAGCCAACTTGTTGAGCAAGATTGTTGAGTAAGGAGAAAGACATTATTGGATTAGCACTCTAGAAAAAAAGGAAAAAAAAAAAAAAAATAGTACAGTAATGTGATCTATTATAGACAACAGGTATATGCCTGAGATATTGGTTCTGAAAATGGATCTCCGGGACTCTAAAAAAGCAGATCCTGATCCTCAATAAAGAACTTGGTGGGATCCCGAATTTTCCCAATCTATCGTCACATGTGCTTGTTTTAAAACAGATCCAGCTTATAACTGAATTTATCAAATTAATGATGATTTAGGTTATGAAAACACAGAATAGATTAAATTTATTCACATTCATATATCTGTATTGAGACAGAGTTGATTTAAGGATTCTATCGACCATGCTCTACTGCTAAATCTTCCTTTCCTCCTCGTTTTATATCAGCCTCTAACAAATACACCCAAACTTCGGTAATAGCAACAGAGGAATGGTTCAAGCACCCTAACACTTGATATGCCACCTCTTGTTGTCTTGCGCCATCATATATGGCCAACAACATTCTTGGGTACGTATGGCTCTTCCAAGAACTTAATTTCGTCTGCTGTCAACTCCTTCCCGCGTAGGTCGCAAGCTTCCTCAAGCCTCAGCAGCGAGTTCAAGCCGACAATTGGCACCGCACCCTTGCTGCAAAGCCAGGAGAGAGAGACCTGACTCATCTTCCAATCTTTCTTCACAGCCAATTCCTCTACTCGACGGATAATATCCTCATCTGCCTTAGTAAGGCTGTTGCCGGTTGGTGAAGGCGCTTGTGCTCTCGTGGACGCCGCGTCTCCAAGTGGTCTCGCCAACTTACCACCGAAATTGGGCGACCATGGCATGATTCCCACGCCTGTTTCATTGCAGTACCGGTTCATCTCTCGCTCTTCTTCGCGGTAACATAAATTATAGTAGTTTTGCATGCTGATAAACTTGGTCCAACCGTTCTGCTCAGCCACGGACTGCATGCGCGCAAATTGCGTTGCCCACATCGAGGAGGCGCCAATGTATCTAATTTTACCGGACGCAACTAGATCGTGTAAAGCACGCATCGTCTCTTCGATTGGAGTAGAGGGGTCGAATCGGTGCACCATGAAGAGATCGATGTAATCGGTTCCGAGGCGTTGAAGGGATGCATCGACAGCCTTGAATATGGCAGTTCGGGAGAGACCTACTCCAAAATACAGTTAGTTTCATGTAATCTAGACCGATCACCCATTATTGAGCTAAAATATTGGATAATTCCATGCCTGATCGATTGACATAATCCTTCATCTGCGACATCTCTCGTTGCCATGGACCAGCAAAAATGTCTGGTTGATCAGGTACGGCGATGAAGCATTTCGTCAGGATGACGACTCTCTCGCGTGGAATATTGTGCTGCTTCAGTGCCTTTCCGATAATTTCCTCGCTGATGCCATTCGAGTACATATCTGCAGTATCCCATGTGTTTAAACCTCGATCATAGGCAGCCTTGAGCATCTCGATAGAGTCATCTTCGTCGAGCACCCACGGCAGCCATTGAGATGAGCCAAAAGACATGGCACCGAGAATAGGCACAGAGACACGGAGACCTGATCTGCCGAGTCTCACGTACTCGACCTGACTGTCGTCAAGGCTCTTCTGGAGTGCTGGAGGTAGCGAGGGAGCCATTGGTTCTGCGCGTACGAATCGATACCACCGAGTCTAGGTGTTCGAACAACTGAGATTTTTTTAAGGGTATATACTTTCAACAGGGTGGTGACTTCACAACAAACTCTAGCTGTAAAGGAATACGGCTTTTGTTCATATAAAAGCCTTAGCAATAGTCGTTTGGTCTAGCCCTTATATACACATTCTGCTCAAGTATGTCCTCAAATTTAGAGATTTTAGCATCCGATAACTCCGCCACAAATGTTTTCAATTTGTACCACGCAGAAAACTAATTCAACAATAGAGTTAGCCGGCCGTAGTCCATCATCGCTTCCAGTCCTCCTTGATTTCGCTCATGGCAGTATTTCTTCACTCAACTGTTGCTGCCAACAGGCGAGCTGACAAACACAAAAATATGGGGACCTCGCGCGTTTATCAAAAATGGGTTTAGCTCTCATACAAGGGCAAGCCTAGTGAATTCGCAGAGGAATCGAGAAGGTTGTGCTAATACCCTGCAAGACCGTGAAGATACCCTGCACCTGGGCTGAACCCAAACATCGAATCGTGGCACTTCACCAGCCTTGTGTGGAAATATTAAAAAACTATAACCTGTTTATTTCCTACATGGATACTTACGAGCACACAGAGTTAAGATAACGGCACACATCTTCAGCTTAAACCCGATACTTCCGCCATCTCCATTACTTAGAGTAAAGGTCAGATATTGTACTCCCCTTTATCACTGACGGATTCAAGCTGCGTGTGTCCCAACGAGCGAGCAACGGCCTTCAAGACGCCCTTCAGCCGTGTCTTCTCTAGAGGCTGAACAGCATCAACGCTCACGGCTACAGTTAAGGGCCATGCTAGCAATGCAGCTACGCTTGGGTGAGGCATATCAAGTAACATGGCAGCCTTAGCACCTCTAGGAGTGTTTTGGCGAGTGACCGAAAACTCTGCACCACAGCAAAGGTCCACAGCAAGATTGTTAATGTTATTCTGGCACCTCTGCGTATCCATATCGAGAAAAGCGTCGTCAAAAAGGAACTGGAGTGCGCAGAGAGCCCGTTTCTGAATGCTATTTGCGATCAACCGAAGAGCGCGGTATCGATTCCATATTGACGCATGGCCAACGGATGGGTAACTATGCGAGGGGATATCCACACAAGCATCAGTCACGCTCGAGCTCGGCTGTAAGTGTGTCCAGCTGACGTGGAAATTCCAGTTTTGTGGAAGTCCTAGAGCCCACAAAGCGAGATCATAATCCAGAGTATATGATTCCATAGCAATTGACTTAACTCTATCAATGACTTCTGGTTCTGTTGCATCCATATCTCTCAGGGAAGGCATTGACTTATTCCTCAAGATCAAGGCACGGACCATGAGCGAGTCCAGTTCCAACTCAGGTCCCTCTTCGCCCCAGCTGCAGCCATCTTCTAGCCAGGTTGGCAAAGCTGCTCCTCGAAGGATGACGATACGAAGCTTTATGGACCGCATGTCAGCATAGAGCACGCAGACTACAATCCATGGCGTTAATTGGCAGGTCTACTTACGCATTTCTGTCGAATCGCCCTATCCAGCTCTGTACTTGCTGCAAAGCCTCTCTCGCGACGTACACTGAGAAGGCTGGCTGCGCCTTTTTCATGGCAGATGTTGTTCCAGAAACGGGAGCCGACAGCGTCACGAGGTAACGACTTTGTAGATTCTCTCGAGAAATACATGACATTCTCATAGCTGCCCATCAGCATCATGGCCAGCATCACTTGATAAATTATATCACCTGATAACCTCATCATGGTCATCCGGATCTCCTCCACAGCCTTTGCATATACTCTTTCGGCAACGCTAAAGGCTTGTCTCACGCCTCTATTTCGCCCGATTACGGCATGCGAATAAGCCGTCAGCGCAAGACGAAGACAGGAGGTCGGCGCTGCTAACTCCCAGTGATGTAGCACGTGTGAACTGTAATCATAGCAAGCATCCCCTAGTATGTGTCTTTCCATAGAAACGCTATCTGCGTAATAATAGAGTGCGTGCATCTCCAGTGGCAGCGACAGCGCTGGCTGAATTTTCCTGTCGGTTTCTGCTGGTGAGAAACTTGAACCTGAGCCTGAGCCAGTACGCACTGCAGCTGGGTTACTACTTGATTTGGATGGACGTCGCTGACGGCCCATAGCAAATACGTTTTCACTTCTAAAATGCAAACCTGTCTGCTCGTCCGAGTCCCAAGTGCATCTCCTATTGCCGATCCTACATCTTCGACACAGAGGTCTCATACAGTCACACTGTAGTTTGTGTCATAATTACCAATAATTAGTTTTTACATGGTGGAAAAGAGGAAATGATTTCAGCTCATTAATCAATTACCTTGACTCTGCGTTTTCGGCAGGTTTGGCAGCCAGGGCTTGGGAAGACCATTGCACTTAGTTCAAAAAGACATGATTCGGCCACTGGTTAAAAATCCAGATAATCAGAGACAGTGAAGCATGAACATTGAGATGCAGTAGGCAGTCGCAACATGATTTGGTGCCAATGCCTGGAGTGGATTCCATTTAACAAGGACATACCGGCGTTAAGGAGATTAGGCGGCATGACTGTTCATTCACACTAGTCGAGACCAAGAAGCGGGTATTATTCTACTACTGCCTAACAAAAGCCCCCACTAAAGTGCTAAGTAATCAAAAATCAACAAGCGTTGGATAAGAGACTAGCTCAAAGACGAGGCTGCAACTACCTGGCAAGAAGACGCAGCCAGTTTATTAAAAGTTCTAAACCTGCATTACCGCTGATGCGATGGAGGCTGTGTTATGGTCTTCTTTACACTAAACTTATACACCTAGATGTAATAGCGGTATGTTGACCTTTTATTGGTTGCGATAAACACTCACTTTTGGCATGATGAATCTTCAACGATCTAAAGTTGTATGTATCCAAGAAGAAACTACAGCAACTGGTTAGAATAGCCAAGAATATACAACACTCACAACTTATACGAAGCATAAACGAGACATCAATATATCTATCATCCACTAAATGTGAACAATTTGTTTTATTACGAGAAGCATTAGCGTAGTAGAGATGTCGCATGGATCTCTCATATTATGGTGTTCTTTGACAATTGTCCCAAACATGCCAAAAAAAAAAAAAAAAATATTGGTCTTAATTTACTGCATATTATGTCTTTTTGAACGCCTGCAAGACGCGGAATGAAGACGCATACGATCATTCGTAATTGGTGGATTTACGTGTCATATTTTCGCTTGTCTCACGCTCATAAACAATTGGCGGATGTGCCTGCCGCTATTTTAGCTTCCCGCTTCATGGAGCCATCGCTCTCCTCCATAAGAGCCAATTTTGTTTTGTCTGTTGCGGTGTGCGCAAAAGTCATGAAACTTATGCACGAAAAGAGGACTAGGCGTATCCGCTCGACGAGACTCTGTAATATCGCTCTCGTTCACGAGGTTCTAAATATAGGAATAGTTACAGCTGCACTAGGGAGCACAGCAAGTTATATAAAGGCTATCCGAATACCGCTTCCATAACTTCAATACGGAGCGACTCCATCTTAATCCTCTTCATCAATCCTCTATAATGTTCCAACCCAGTGCTGTTCTCCTAGCGGCACTCGCTCTTGTTGTTCCCAGTGCTATAGCTGGCGAGTATGTTTTGACTAATAGTAAATAACTTGTTATGTGGCTAATAGCGCTGTTTATCTATAGAGGCGTGCATCTCGCTAATTGTGGCCCTGATGTTTTCTCGGCTTCTACTAGTGTCATCGCCTACTACCCAGATGACTCGCAGTCAAATTCGGCACCATTTTCCCAAAACATAGCCTTTGCTACCAACCCAGCAAGTTTAGTTACCTGGGAGGGTAACTCTTATACCGCTAGCTTCGCAACTGGGAACACCTTCACGACCCACATTCAAGCTGGAAGCTTCGGCTTCGGCCAGTATGCAGGAACTGGCAATAACCAACAGCGACAGTTTGCTTGCTTCAGGGATAATGACAGACAGCTCTGGAGATCAACGCCTGCCTATGCTTGTTTTAGCATTTACTATTGTCTTGATGCTTAATAAACCCAAACAATAATTCTCCGATAGTTATATACAAATATTATTGTCCTTCATCCATGTCAAGCGATCCTTTCCTTTTGTAGAATTCCGATTGAGCCTTACATAGCAACAATGCTTTCTAGTTAAAACACTAGCCTAATTTAAGTAATAGTCAGGATTGACTATCACATGAATTCGAACATTCAAATGGACCCTAAAACATTACGTAAAGTCCAGTTAGCATGCACATAACAAGGGGAACCTTTATACACCTAAATAGACAATATTGCGCTATAGCCATATCGCCATCTAATGCAGCAGTCCCGGGTAAGAGGATACCTATCAAATCTCTGAAAATGTCAGTGAAGATGCATTCAGCCAATGTGTTCTTGTGGAAAAGATACCAATCAGCCTATTGCAGATTAATATGCAATTAGTAATCTCTCCAAAGAGATAGTGTATGAACTAGGATTGTTGGGGATCGGACTCTTTGCCAACCGTTCTATTTATATGAGAGATGGGATGATCTATCAGATATGGCGTGGGCGCTCTGTTGCACATTTGCATGGCCAATGGAGAAAAAAAAGTGTTAGATGTCATTTTATACTTTAGCAATCAATTAAGTCAATTGTGGATTCTGCCGAGCCATATATATTTATGATCCGCAATTAACCTCTTGAAGGATTAGCTATGGAATAGAAGCCATGTCACCTACGTACTCTTACTAGGCCTTTTCATACGTAAATAGAGATGTGTTACAAGACGCAGTGTGAAAAACTTAGGTGTAATTGGAGAAGACTATTGCAAAGTATTGATATTCAAGTTTACGCAAACTCTAGAATGGTTTAGTTTAGTTACACTCCTCAAGCCTTAGCAACCTCAATCCACTGGTTCACCAAACTCTTAACTTGCTGATCAAACCCGGCAAGTTTGATACCAAAAGTCTCCTCAGTCTTCTTAGCATCAACGCGAATAGTAATGGTTGGCTGCTTTCCAGTCGTCTTGACGAGTCCCTGTGCGATTGCCTCCGGATAATTCTCCTTCAGAACATTGATGCCATGTTCCCACACCATACCATTAACCCCATCTGCTGCAGCCACGAATGCCTGGTTGCCAGGGACCTTGGGATCGAGAGCCAATACGTGAATCTGAGCAACGTCGTCAACCAGAACCGCATTGCTGTTTGATGGAATATCGGACTGGCCACCTCGGAGGAAACCCAGCAGAACTGAGTTTGTAGAGCTGGACTCAAAGTCTTGAACCTTAGTGGCCAGCTCATCAGCACCAAAGATCCATCCAGGAACGATGCTGACCAGGTCGAAACTTGGCTTCTTTTCCTTGACCCAAGTCTCAGAATCATTCAGAGCAGCCGCTTTACTGGCGCTGTAGGCTTGAAACTCAAAACCATAGGGGCCTTGGTCTAAAGGAATTCGGTGCTCGGCGTCGAAAGTCTTGTCGTCCCCCTGACCAAGATAGTAATGGAAAGGAGTGATAGCGACAAGAGAGCTGGTAATCACGATGCGCTTAATAGTACCGGCCTTTTGGCTGCTTTCAAGAAGCCCGATGGTCGATCGGCGAGCAGCCTGAACGAAGAACTCGTCATATTGCTCGGGCGTAGGAGCGGCTTCGCCGCCAAAGCTGGGGATTGGAGAAGCACAATGAATCACATACGTTGCTCCCTTGACTGCCTCGTCGAAAGCACCTGGAGCTTCCATATCCTTAACGACAACGAACGAGAGCTTCTCTTCGCGAAGGTTCAAAGCCTTGATAGACGGCGAGTTGAGAACCTTGTTGGCCCTGTTGATGGATCGGACTACAAGTCGGACATTGTATCCAGCGGCAAGGGCAATGGTCAGGACTTTGAATCCTAGGAAACCAGTGGCTCCTGTAAGGACAAGAAGATCGGTGGCAGCCATTGTATATAGTAAATAATCTAAAAAGATCAAGAATAATTTTTTAGGGAGTTAAGATGAAGTTCTGTTGTAGATGAAGTGCTTTGTGGATTATATTAGTGTGTTGAGCGATTTCTTTCCGTTCATGGCAGGTGCGTGCCCAGTATTTATTAATTTCTATTCACACACATCTTTCATGGCTAGGATTTGAAATGCTGTCGAAGAGAATCTGGAGAATCTACCCTCAAATTAGTCAGCCTTGGAGATTAATCAAAATGATTCCATGCGTAGTATAGTTAATTTTACATTTGTCAGGCTCATTCTAAATCGTATTCTTCAACCAAATAGCATTAGCATTTCGACTCGAAGGCAGCATACGAAGTGCTGTGATGGCATTTGTGGCGCGAAGGATCAGTGGATCAATCCCAAGAATTGCCCGATTGAGCAAACGGCTTGCATGGCAGCTAAAATTGCGCCTAGCTGCCGTTCGCTACTAAACCAAGTGCCATGGCTCTAAGGGCAGAAGGAATTGTTTCGGACTAGCGGCAATGTCACAATCCCGTTAAGCAGAGATGGTGTTCGCTACAGTGAAAGGCGGAATTAGCGTCGCCCTTTAAGTTAAATAAATAAGTAACGGGTGCCGCAAAAGTGGCTCCTTACTATCCATTGTACAGCCAGGTACTGGCGCCGCGAGGCCTAACAGCGGGAGGGACCGCGCTGCTGCCGTCATTGCTCTCTCTCTTCTCCCCCATCACCTATTGATTTGAGCATTTATTGTTCTGAGCATATTTAATACTTAGCTTCCTCTTTGCATTTATACTTTTATGTTTGAAACCCCCAATAAGTACATTCAGGTACAAGGTTATACTTCTTTAGCTGCTAAAAAGCCTAAAATGGTCGAATGCCTCAAGCATTTGTCAAGGTGTTCCGTCCTAACATAGGTACTTCTTAGTAACTGTACTGTGTGAGCGAAGAGACCTACTGCTGGCGATACTTACCATCTATACTAAGGTACATTTATACATACAGTAGGGGAGGGTTTAGTAGCTTAGTTGCCTCACAGCTTTTCTGGGAAGTCTGGCACACCTCACTCAAATGACGAGTTTACCCCGACGAGTTAGAACAAAGCTTTACCATAGCGACATGGCACCATACCTACACGACCGACCCTATTGTTGCTACTTATTATCACGTCCTTTCCCGCATTCATGTGCATGTATATCACTTCTTTAAGAGAAACTGGCCGCTCCTGTATTAGCTTCGGTTACTCATCACCACATTAAAGTAGCTGTAATCTAACAGTGACCTCCGAGTGGGCCTTAAAATGGCACCTTTACCTAGCATAGACTTACTACCCTCGTAATTATCAACGTATCAGACTGGAATATAAGACATTCAGTAGCAAGTTAGTATAGTTTAGTATAATATAAAATTACAGCTGCCCCCAGGCCCCGTTAAGTGGCATAGTTATTAAAGAATTAAATAATTAATCTTTTATAGTATACTTTCATTTTTTATATATTTAGCAAGCTTAGAAATTGAATCGCAAGAAAATCACTCTTCCTGACTCAAGTCCAAAGGCAAGAATATTACCATGTATAGCTACATGTATGGTCCTATAATCTATAGGAAGCCAGAGTAAATACTTTCCATCCTTAGTTATCCACTCGTCAGTAATAAACACAGTATTGTCTGAGGGGTTATATGGCGTTTGTATATCTGAGTGGGAGGAAATTCTTATATATCCATAACTTGTTTCAAGAAATTGACCATCTGGCGAGAATGCAATTGCTGAAACCCTCCTATGGCCCTCGAGCATCTGCTGAAGCGCTCCTGTTGCAGAATCACATAGCCATACTGTCCCATCAATTAATGCCAATGCTAGCGTCTTGCTGTCTGGCGAGAATGCAATTGCTGAAACCCACTTATGGCCCTCGAGCGTCTGCTGGAGCGCTCCTGTTATAGCATCCCATAGCCGTACTGTCCCGTCACTTAATGCCAATGCTAGCGTCTTGCCATCTGGCGAGAATGCAATTGCTGAAACCCACTCATAGCCCTTAAGCGCCTGCTGGAGCGCTCCTGTTATAGCATCCCATAGCCGTACTGTCCTATCAAATGATGCTGATGCTAGCGTCTTGCCGTCTGGTGAGAACGTAATTGCTGAAACCCAATGGCTATGGCCCTCGAGTGTCTGCTGGAGCGCTCCTGTTGCAGAATCCCATAGCTGTACTGTCCCGTTTTTTAATGCTGATGCTAATATCTTGCCATCTGGCGAGAATACAATTACTCTACCCCACCTGTTATAGCCCTCGAGCGTCTGCTGAAGCGCTCCTATTGTGATATCCCATAGCCGTACTGTCCAGTCATCTGATGCCGATGCTAGTGTCTTGCCATCTGGCGAGAATGCAATTGCTCTAATCGCCTGGCTATGGCCCTCGAGCGTCTGCTGGAGCGCTCTTGTTACAGCATCCCATAGCCATACTGTCCCGTCATTTGATGCTGATGCTAGCGTCTTGCCGTCTGGCGAGAATGTAATCGCCCAAACCGGCCCGTTATGGCCCTCAAGCGTCTGCTGAAGCGCTCTTATTACGGCATCCCAAAGCCGTACTGTCCCGTCATTTGATGCTGATGCTAGTGTCTTGCCGTCTGGCGAGAATGTAACTGCTATTACCGCCTGGCTATGGCCCTCAAGCGTCTGCTGGAGCGCTCCTGTTACAGCATCCCATAGCCGTACTGTCCCGTCATCTGATGCTGATGCTAGCGTCTTGCCGTCTGGCGAGAATGTAATTGCATTAACCTCGTCGCTATGGCCCTTAAGTGTTAGCTGGAGCGCTCCTGTTGCAGCATCCCATAGCTGTACCATTCCGTTAATTAATGCTGATGCTAGTATTTTGCCGTCTGGCGAGAATGTAATTGCTAAAACCGGCCCGTTATGGCCCTTAAGCGTCTGCTGAAGCGTTCCTATTGCGGCATCCCATAGCCGTACTGTCCAGTCATTTGATGCCGATGCTAGCGTCTTGCCGTCTGGCGAGAATGCAACTGCTGTTACCACCTCGCTATGGCCCTCAAGCGTCTGTAAATGCACGTCGCGATCTTTTATGCCATGAATATCTTTAATAAATAGTAGTCTCTCCTTCCATTGCTGTTTTTTTACCTCACTTAATCTTGGGCTAAACACAAGCGCCGAGCCATATGCTTGCAAGGGTGCCCGATCTATAATTGACCCATAACTAAGTATAAACGTCTCTGTGTCTTTAAGGAATCTACTAAGCCGAGGACTTATACTAGATTGTAACTGGTAGCGCTTAGCATTTGTATTTAGTTATAGCCTTAGAGCACATACCTCTTGCAGAAGTTTCCTTATTGAACGTACGCTGTCTGGGAGCCTTCCAAGGAGAGACAGACTCTCCAGCCAGTGGAGGATATGGTCCTTCAAAAATGACCATACTACCTCGTCATCTTCTAGTTCATTCCTAGGTTTGGAGGCGTCGCAGAGATGGTCGGCCCAGAAAAGGCAGGAGTATCTCATTGGAGCCAACGGGTCTGGATCAGGTGGTTGTGCATCCTTTGGTCTGAACCCGAAGTCTGGAAGGCTATAGATATTTTTCTGCAGTTTTGATATAGCCGCGATTGACCGCTTGTAGATGTCCGTATGCCCTTGGGCAACCCCACCTGACCGAAGCTTCGAGTCATAATTCTTGGTTAGGTAGTCCTTCGCTGACTGGTGAATTAAATAGGCTGTTCCTCCATTAATTGTTAAAAATGAACCACATTCCTCGATAATTGTCTGCAGGTGAACTTTAGTTGGCAAACCTGCAAGCACGGAAAGTTCAGGAAGAGAGAGTGGGCGATAAGCTAGAGAAGAAGCTACCAAGATATCCTTGCAATATTGCTTATCGCTAAGCTTCTCAATTCTGATCATCATATGATCATACAACTCCGATAAGCCAGCGGGTATCCCTTCTATCGTCTCGATAGCATCCCACCCATGCACTCCGTCCAGTTGTTTGAATACAAGGGCTACCCATAAGAAAATATTCGCAGCTCGCTGACGGATCTCGCTCGAAATTTTGGCCAAAATATCCTCGGAGTATCCCCTTCTGTTTCTAAGGGCAGAAAGCTTGTGATTGATATATGCATTAACGGGATCTTCTAGACTTTGAGCATCGAGCTCGACTAGAGCTCCTGCAAGTATTGGATTATTGAGCTCTACCTCGGGGCGGCTAGTAACTAGCCATTTGACCTTCTTGCAGACTGAAATGGATGTCGAGATGAGCTGCATAAGGTTGTTTAAATCTTCGCTACATTCATCAAGAGCATCAATAATCAAATATGCACGCGATAAGCGAGAGTCTTTGAGCATGCCCTCGAACACATCACATAAAGCGAAATATGCGTTCGAGTCAGTGAAAAGAGAATGACCCGAGTATTTGTATTTCGCGTGTAAATGAGAAATGAGATGTGGTTGCTGAACAACCAGCATCCAGATCAGCGACCTTAATACAGCCGTGGCGCTGTTCCGGGCGTTGTCTGTTCCCTGACAGAAAAAATACGAGACATTTGGTGCAAGCGCAGCGGAGTGATTTATGAGTTCGCGGACTATACCGATTAAGAGCATTGTTTTTCCCGTACCAGCAGGACCCTTGATCCACAGCAGCTGACACGGAGGCAAGTCAGGTTCGTCATTAGCCCAATTGGTAAATGCTGCAAATTGTGTTGTGCCGAGAATCCACCTGAACGCGTCGTCAAGCAATTTATCCTTCTTATTCTCAATCCTCTCCATGTCATACGAGGGGTCCGCAACAAAGAGATCTCGGAGGCATTCTGTATCCTTGTCATCCATTCGCGCCTCCTTTTGCTGGGCGATGAATTTCTGGAGTTCGAGATGAATGTCGCCAAGTCGTGTCTCCATTTCTCGTCCAGAGTTGACAAGTTGGCGCAACGAGCTCTTCTCGTATTCCCTGTGATACTGGACCGACATTTGCTCAACAGTAGCTTCAGCTTTCTTAACACTCTCAAAGATACTATCCCAATCATCTAAGTTCGCCAGGCCGCGGAGAAAGACAGTACTTTGGTTCCGGTAGTAGGAGTTGGCACTGGTTATCTGATACAGGATAAGAGCTCTGTAAAGCGCGATAATCTCTTTCTCTAGTGTCTCCATGACTACTGCGAAAGACTGGTTTCCAGTCGCGATATTTTCCTTGTTGAGGAGATGTTCAGTCAGGGCACAGTACCAACTCATTCGCGAAGTAACATGAGCGATACCCGTAAGATTGGCTTTTGTTGCCTTTACTGGATTCAGGAGGATCTAGGCGGAAATTAGTTGATATAAGCAAGTGCGAAATATGACTACTCACTTGTAACCCCATGCAAACGCCAGCCCACGGAAGCGCAGCTTGTGGTATATTCTGGATCGCCGCATCAATCATTCCCTTAGCTGAAATAATAAACTGAGCGACGTCGCCCACTGTTGATAAGATCTTCGATGATGTGGCGGCCTTCTTCTGGCCTTCATTTACCAATTTCTTCATGTACTCTTGCCGCTTAATTGGGTCTTTCAGTTCAGTTGAGATGTCGTCTTCGGAAACGGATACACCAAAATCTTTCTCAGCCTTTAGAATTTTCGTGAGGGTCTTCGCATAAGATTTGGCAAGCTTCGCGGTGTCTTTGTTCCCCTCAAGGCTATCGTAAGCGGCATTCCAGAGTCTCTGGGATATGGATAGTCCTGGGGTCTGTTCCTCGGTGAATTCAGTTGCCAGTTGCCGTTCTGTTGACCCTGGGTTTGCTTCGGCGGAAGGTTCGGTGATATGTAGGATGATAGACGGAACATCTGTTTCTGTGGCACAGCTAAGAGTGGCATCCGGAACCACTTGGGCCGCGGTCGTAGTGAAGTGCGGCTCGGTGCTCGATAGACCAGTCGTGACCTCATTAACCGGCAAGCTTGTAGGGGGAATATGTAGCTCTGTTAAATCGGATGAAGCTTCCGTACCATCTATAATTCGCCTCTTGACTTAGCATGCTGGACATTTGATGGAGTTTCGAAGCTGTAACGCTATCGGTTAAAACCTACCTGTAGACGACGCCCTAGTCGGGACTGACGAGGTCGACACGCGACGATGTCGCAAAAACCCCAACACTTTCTCTCGGTGTTTTCCCATGACTTCTATGGAAACTATATATCTAGTGTAGATAGAATCGCGACAGCGGGGATGATGGTGAAGTAGAGTTGATGCCTGACCTAGACACAGATTTTACGAAGTGGAGGCAGAAGCTTAGGCAGCGGCAGCAGCGGCAGCAGCGGCTACAGCTGCAGCTGCAGCTGTCTCGCTTAGGTGCCAATAGAACCTCACAAACATCCGCGCGTGGAGCCATCGGAATATCGTTGAAGTCGTAGATAAGGAGCGCATGAATAGTACTACTACGCCGGCCAAGGCAGCGTGATTACTGTCATCGTTCTAGCCCATCGGTATTTCGTTCGTTGTCTGCGTATAGTGTGCTCGCCTTAACCGATAGTTATGACTATCCCATTAGTTAACAAGTCTTTCATGGCTATGCATGCGAAACACCAAATTGTTGATGTTGAGGGAAAGTAAGTTGCGGAGCCATTACAGTCAGTAGCGATAATCCTGTTCTGGCTGTGTTTATAAGTCAGACCAGTAGCTATTCGGCCATTGCATATAAATTTTATATGGTAAAAACAGTATGAATAGTAATTTATATACTAATAAATAAAACACTTTAAATCTTTAACCTTTTTATTATTTTATATAGTAACATGTATTATAAATATTAAATAATTTTTTAATTTTATTAATATATTTTATATTTTTACAGGTGGTTAAAGCTGTTAAGATTTATGTAAAAATTAGTAGTATATACTAACAGATATTTTAAATAGCTATTAATTAATAATTATAATAAAAATTTTTTTTTTATTTTTTATTAAAAATTTATATAAAAAATAAACTATTTATTAAAAAGGTTAGTTTTAAATCTTTTTTTATAATTAATTATAGATTTTAAAATAGCTAAGTTTGTGAGTAAAAGGTGGCCGACTAGCTACTGGTCTGACTTAGTATGAAACCGCCTCAAGCCAGAAGTATTCCTTCGGCCTTAGAAGTTAGGTGTCAACTGTCCTTGCCACGCGCCATGAAAGGTCCAATTAGGCTCCTGTTAAGGTATTGTTCCCTAAAGTACACACTTAGATTAGCCGTATTTGTTTTACGGGAGTACTAAATTCCGAAAGTCTCGCACCTAGCCACCAAATGTATACAGTGCATTACTTTTAAACCTGGGCCCTCTACATTATGAATGTGTACAACCAGTACTGGCCGCTGTTAGGCCCCGTAGCGCCAGTACCTGGCTGTACAATGGATAGCAAGGAGCCACATTTGCTGCACCGTTACTTATTTAATTAACTTAACAAAGGGCGACACTAATTCCGCCTTTCCCTGTATGCCTGTTAGTCTTGTTGCTACATAGTCCAAAGTAGCTCTTGGGGGGGGGGGGGGGGGTTCTTAGGAAGTGAGTCCTTCAAGGTGTCCAAATCCGCGGCTACTCTAATTACCCACTATGCCCGTATGTGTCTGGAGGACCATACTCCGTAGTATGTAGTATCACTCTATATAACAAATAGCACAGCATGAGAGTTGTAACCCGCTGGCTGTGGCTTGCTGGAGCAATTGGCCAAGAAACAGACAACAGCTGAGAATGTCACAAAATCTTCTCAAGTCGATATCAACTATATAGAATGCACTTAGCACTATTTTAAACACAAAAAACCCTTCGTTTGGTCAGAAGCGTATTCTTGAATTTTGGCCTTTTTTTTTTCTTTTTTTGGAGCGTCAGTCTCGAGGCTTCTCGCAAATTATCGGAGCTTTTCCAACGCTAACGATCTCGCCACCAATGTCCATCTTCGTTTTCATAACTAGGCCTACGTGCTACGACCGATTAGTATATTGGTACTAGGGTCATGCAGCTTTCTGTCGACGCTAGAACAATAGATGTAAATAGTTTCTAGCACCGAAAGATGCAATGGTTATCTGCGCTGCAGGGATCGCACTCGAAGCACACGGGAGCATGCAAGTGGTTCGCTATACCACGCGGGAGTGCTTTACAAAATGTAACAGATATTTTTCGGTCGGAAAAAATGTAATAGAAGAGACTGGCTCTGTTTCTGCTTCATCGACGCCTTTAAAAAGAAGAATCTTGGCACTGAGGCTCGGTTTGAGAGATGCTCCAAACCATACCTATTTCACGACTGTTGCCAAATCCCGGAGAATCCATGTCTCGGAGTCTAAAGTAGCCTTGCCATTACTGAATTTCATAAGCGACGCAAACCCATCTATAGGCTCCAGTTGAATTTTAGCGACCGGGCCAAGCCACTGGTTGCTGACAATACCCTAGTAAGGCGACCGGGCTGCGCTTGGTAATCCCGCTCTTCTTCTCTACGCTGCGGAGATATGCCATGATGTCATTCCAAACTGAACTGCTTACATGAAGGCGGGGCTGAGCATGGAAATTGGATGGGTTTCGCACGGTATCACTTTTAATTGAATAACCTACTGTTAGTACTTCAACCCCCAAGGCATATCGTGATTCTCCTTACTATAGGTATAATGTCTTCTAAGCCAGATCGAACCTCTTGTGTTTGAACTGTCTTCTCTAAACGCCAATATGAAAACTGGTTGAAGGGATTTGCCTCATCCGGAAACATAAATCATCCAGGCTCTCTTCATGCTGCACACAACAGAATTCCAGACAACCAGCTCCTGCCGGCCTTATTATCAGTTCTATCAAATAAAGGAGCTCTCTAATTAATTTTAGTGAACTCATTCATTCAAACAACGGGGAGAAGCAACGAGACGGGGAGATGCGGGGAATTAAACTCTCCTCGGGAGTTCAGTCCGCCACAGAGCGAGCTACGGATAACAACACACTAGAGCATTGTCCATATGACAGTTTTAATGTAAATATGCCATCTAATTCGAAATACCAAGTATAAAAATGTCAACATTAGCTCCTCGATTCCAAAGAATTAATGAATAATTGGGGCACGCTTCCCGTCCGGATTAAAGACTATATGTTGTTCACAGCTTACTACCTCTCCAGCCTTGTGGGGCAGGCTTTTGCCATTCCCGCTGCTTCTTTACCCACGGCTCATACTGTCAATGGGACGTACTCAGGGTTGAGCATACCGTCTTTCAACCAAGAAGCATTCTACGGCATTCCGTATGCCCAAGCGCCTGTTGGAGACCTTCGTCTCCGACGGTCTCTACCGTACAACCAATCTTGGTCTGGCGTACGAAATGCAACAGTCCGATCTGATTCTTGCCCAGGATATAACGGATTTCCGCTTGCTCTTGTTGGTGGTAGTCTTATCGATGGACTTACCTTGGGAGAAGATTGCTTAACAATTGATATCGTCCGACCAGCCAACATCAATGCTTCCGACAAATTACCCGTCTTCACATGGTTTTACGGGGGAGGTAAAACATATTCGCTGTTCTAGGTCTTTTCACTATATAACCAAACTGATTTGCCTGTAGGTTTCATCGCTGGTGGATCCGCTGATCCCAAATACAATTTATCATACATCGTCCGGAACTCAATGGATATGGATAAGCCCATTATAGGCACCATCATTAACTATCGAACAATGTGTTTTGGCTTCTTGGCATCGAAAGAAGTTCTTCATGCCAATGTTAGCAATCTTGGGCTCTTTGATCAGCGACGCGGCCTTAAATGGATCCAAGAGAATATCCAAAGCTTTGGCGGTAATCCGGACAAAGTAAGTACCCTCCACAAAAAGTTAACGTGTAATAACTTGTACCTAGGTGACAATCGCGGGAGAGAGCGCAGGTGGTTCAAGTACCGGTTATCACCTAATTGGCTTCAAAGGCGACAATGACGGACTGTTCCGTGGAGCGATAATGGAGAGCGCAAGTTTGTTAGGGGCTCCAAGTACGCCTGAAAGCCTTTGGATAGAATGCAGAAGATCTCACCAATTCTATAGTTAATAACCCTGAACAGCTGCAGAGAAGCTATCAAGGCATGTACGATAACATCACGACAACCGTGGGCTGTCACACCTTGAATGACAGCCTGGCGTGCCTAAGAACTGTCCCCTTTGAAACTTTACACCAGGCGTGTATTGGGTTTCGACAAACACCCATTATGGATGGCGAGTTCATTTCACAACTACCGTCACAATCTATTCAAAAAGGTGAAATCGCCGATGTGGCCATTATTATGGGCAGCAATACTGACGAAGGAACCGCGGTTTTCTTGGGCCCTCGTGCGAGCCCGTTGAACAACGACCAGGATGTATTCAAATACGTCCAGGCTCTTGGAAGTGGTCTTGATAATTCAACCGTAGAAACAGTTATGAATCTATATCCGGATGACCCAACTTGGGGTTGTCCCTTCGGGACTGGACCCGAACGGTTCGCAGATCAGGGATATCAGTACAAGCGCGGCGCTGCCATTGCTGGTGACTACTTTATACACTCAGGAAGAAGGTTCTATGCAAATTCGCATAGCATTCAAAGCCAAATGCCAATGTACACGTATAGATTCGATCAAGCACCTTGGAATATGAAGGAGCCCTCCATTATGATTATACCGCCAGTTTATGTAACGCACTACTCTGAGGTATTTGCTAACTGCAATAATTTCGGTGTTTCTTCGCTAATCACCAATCGCAGATCGTGTATGTGTTTGACAACCCTAATAACAACAGTAACTTCATTGGACCCTACCCAGGATATGCGAAGCTACAGTCCTTTGTGTCGCGCTCTTGGGTGTCATTTATCCATGATCTAGATCCCAATAACCATGGGCTTCAAGACCCGAATCTCCCAAAATGGCCAAAGTATAGTTCCAGTCACCCTCAAAACATTGTTTTCCGCGAAGGAGGAAGTTTCATTGAGAATGATGATTATCGGAAACAGAAGCTGGCGTTTTGGCCCACTATCTGGGCAGAATTACAGACCTGAAAGACATTATATTTCTGGCAGTCCGATATCTAACTCACTGCGACTTAGATTGTTTTGTGAGGGAAGGGTGTGACTGTTCATACACGTATCAATGTAAATATGCTAAGAGAAGAGCATCAAAAACGATTTGGCCGAATAATTCTGCTGTAACTGGGCATTGGCGTCGTAGTAGCTAGTGACAAAACACGAAACTAAATTGATGCCAAAGACCATTCAACTACACAATATATTATATACTTGATCATAAAAAAGCAATACCAGTTTAGACAGTGTTCAATCAATAATTGCTCACAGCTATGAATCTCTCTTTCTCTATTCCCTGCATTTACAGCCTGTTTCTCGTATTTGTCATTTCATAATGGTGCAGACCTTAAGCCGTTTAATAAGAAGATGACATACAAAAACAATTAGCAACATCTCCCGAGTATATAACTACGTCATTATCTCCGACCAGAGCGTGCTCCAGTACGCCAACTGCTCCTTTCTCCAATCGTCGTCTTCCACCCAGCTAGCGCCAGCCCTGAAAACAATATTCTGAGGCTTAGATACACTATATTCAGGCCAACCTGGCTTTCCTTCAAGACCGTGGTTATTAGGATTCTGATCATGGATGAACGATACCCAAGACCGGGACACGAATGTGGCTAGCTCCGAGATAATTGGATACGGCCCAATCCAGTTGACGTTTTTATCAGGATTATCAAAAACATGGACAATTTCAGTGTAATGCGTGGCATACACTGGCGCGGTGGTGGTGACGTCGACCTCTTGCATGTCCCACGGTGGCTGGTCGAAACGGTAAGTGTAGATCGGGTGCTTACTGCGCTGGCTATGGCTGATGGCGTACGCACGACGGCCAGCATGAATGTTTACATCACCGGTAATGGCAGCACCACGCTTATACTGGAAGCCCTGGTCTGCGAATCGCTCGGGCCCAGTGCCAAAGGGGCAGCCCTGGATGGGGTCGTCAGGATACAGACGAAGGATGTTGGCGACCACCGAGTCATTGAGACCACCGCCAAGATGCGCAACCAGAGAAGAGATGTCACTGTCGTTATTCAGAGTTCCCCGGGGCGTGAAGAATTCAGCCGTGCCCTCGTCTGTATTTGAGCCCATGATGAGAGCGACGTCAGCGATCTGGCCCTTTGCGATAGAGACGGAGGGAGGCTGAGAGATGAATTTTCCGTCAACGTAGGGTTTGAACTGGAAACCGACCACGGCGCTGAAGAGCTTCTCGTAAGGAACGGTACGGAGACAGGCCAGGGAGTCCGCAGCTGTGTTGCAGCCGACAGTTGTCGTGATATTATCGTACCACCCTTGGTAAGTTACATTCAGCGTCTCGACGGTGTTCACTGTAACTAGTTAGTAAAGCATCCATGCCATCGTCATTGTATTTAGCCACTGTTAAAGATAATACTTACTGGAAGCACCAAGCAAACTCGAACTCTCCAAGATGGCACTCCTGAATAGGCCGTCATTCTTCCCCTCAAATGCCACCAGTTGGTATCCAGCAGAGGAGCCTCCTGCGCTCTCACCAGCAATTGTGACCTTGCCAGGGTCACCGCCGAACGCGCGGATGTTCTCAGACACCCATTTAATCGCCACCCGCTGGTCGAATAGGGCAATATTGCCTACTCCCGCCGCCGCGACTTCTTTGGATGCCAACAAGCCAAATGCCGATGTACGGTAGTTGGGCACTACGGCGATGATTGGCTTCTTCATTTCCATCGAGTTGCGCACCATGAAGGATGTGTTGTAGCGCGGGTCGGCCGATCCACCGGCTTTGAATCCACCGCCGTATATCCAAAAGAAGACGGGGAGGTTATCTCCAGGCTGAACATTGGCTGGTCTCACGATGTCAAGTGTCAAACAATTCTCGCCCATCGTTAAGCCGTCGGCGAAGCCCTGGGCAAAAGGCTTGTCGAAGCCAGGGCACGAGTCCGACCGTACAGTGGCATTACGAGAACCTGTCCATGACTGGTTATATGGCAATGGATAACGGAGTCGTAGGTCTCTCAGAGGAGGTCTCGCAAAGGGTATACCATAAAAGGCCTCCTGGCTGAAGGTGTCGAGAGTAAGGCCCGTGTAAGTCCCGTTGACGGTGTGAGCAGAGGGTGCGCTTCGATCACGGACGGCTAAAGCGATAGCAGGAGACAAGCTGCTCATGCAAAGGAGCACCAAAGAACAAAAGGTTATTGACTGGTGCCAATACATAGCCTATTAGAATTATTTTGCCGAAGCATTCTATCACTAGCCGTGAATATTCATTTGCAATACATCGTGTAACCCATCGAGAAAATGTAGCCCGTTTTATAGCCATGATGTTTCTATCTGAGAGATATTTCTTTCCCGGGGAGCTACAAAATCTACTACGCCTTTCTCTATAATGATTGATGCCAATGCTGTCAGCTTGCCATCCAGAATGATGGAGCCGCTAGCAAAACTCTCCCCGGACTCCCCCGGATTCTCCCCCGGGAGGCGTCCTCTACGCACGTTTACCCCACGTTTGTCAGCTTAAATTCATAAGCCGACTGGAACTCTCCCCAGACTCATCCCCGGAGGCGTCCCGGCCTCTGAACTTTCTCACCCACACCTCTCAGCTAGAGCCAAGATCTGGACTAGTACTATCCTTTCCAGTCTGCCGGAAATTCCTTCCGAGAATGGCAGTTTTCATACTTTGAAATATCCACTCTTCATTGCCATTGGTGACGAGGCCCGGAACTCAATAGGCCTAGATTAACATGAAATCGAGGTTGTAAGCTGATGGTCAACGTGGACCCGCGGAATAACAAATGCCACTATCGTAAAGCCAACTCACGTGGCAGCTCCTATCCGACGCCATCCCCAAGAGAAGTTGGGCCATTCTTGCTCTCGCCTGTGACTATGCAGTTTATCAAACGCCACGCTAGCCTTGAGTAATGACTCTTATCTCAGCACTCGTCCATAAACTTGGACTCCATGTAGGTAGCTTGCATTTTCATGCACATAGTGCATTCACCCTAAACGCATGCGCAGTTCATATTTATGAGGTTAAGATCAAAGTTCTCATATTAATGGTATTTGGGATTGTTCCATTAAATATGTTGTTTACTGTCTTTGGTAGGGAGAATTAGAATATAATAAGAACAAACTTTTGTACGAAAGGAACAAGAAGAGTTTAGCTGAAAGGTTAAACGATGGTTACTAATCTATAGTTTACCTGTTGTTTATGTGCCCAATATTCAATATATATATTTATATATATATATCTGTATTTTTATACATGGTCCCTCGCACAGTTGTTGAAGCATGGATAAGTCAAGGAATATTAGTTCATCAGCCAATACCCCCGCCATCCAAAGTCGCATATCTAGTCGCCATGAAAAAAGAGACATGAAGTGGAGCTATACAGAAACTTGTAGGAGGTAAGACTACCGGATGCAAATAACAGAGTAAATCACCCTTGAATAACCATTTTAGCGAAGAAATTAAAGGTTGTCACCGGGCGTATGATGCTACAGCGATAAGCGGCCTATCATTTGCTAAGCTATTGCCGTGTCTAACTTCTATAATAATACCTCAGCTCTCCTTAGCATAACGTTCAAGCAACTCAACAACTCGTTTAAGACTTTCTCTCTTCCCATGCCGGTCTTCCACACAGTCCTCAACATCCAAGTCGATATACTCATGTGCCTCAAAGCCATGGCCCTGACCGACGACGCGTTCCAAATGAACATCGATCCCGAAAGTTTCAAATTTTGAAGCAACGGATGAACTCAGCCCAAAATCAACCAAATCATCCACATCTCCATGAAGGAGAACAGTTGACGGAAAGTTTTCATTTAGCCCCAAGGTTGCTGGAAATAGTGGCCAATACTCCTTCGGTATCGCTTGAATACCTTCCTTTGCAATCTTTTCCGTTAAACCAGGTGAACGGGTAAGCACGTCAATATCTCGTGCTGCCTGATGCATCGTAGAAGCCGACTTGAATAGTTGATCCGTGACTAGGTTAGATGGGAAGGGATACCCATCATTGCGTTAGCACCTTGCATAGCAGCATCAATCTCTTCCAGGACTTCATTTTCATTGGGAACACCTTCTCTCAGACGATGTCCAGAATGAATATATCGACTATTCAAAAAATCAAGCATGCCGTAAATGCATAGTATCGCGAGAGGTTTCGGGCATAAAGGGCTAGCTGTTGCTGTAAAAGCTACATGAGCGCCTGCACTAGAGCCAGCTATAACGATTCGACGCGAGACGTTGTTATAGGCCCAGTGAACAGCGTCTAAGGCATCTTTCAATATCTCACGGCCGTCTGCTTCTGGCAGTAACCGGTATGAATCAGTCGCGTATGTCCAACCTCTATTTTTGCATGCGTTGCTTAGCCAGTAAGGCGGAAATGTTGTCTTTTCTCCAATTAACTGTATAAAATACGTATTAGACTTTACCACATAACTTCATCTAGCAATGTGGCTAGCTTACCAAGAATCCTCCATGAAAATGGAGAAGGACAACATTGTTGTCTTGTGTTGTAGCTGGGGTAGAAACATCAATGGTGACTCGTGTTTGTGGTTCAGTATGCCAGATCGTTCTTCATTAGTGCATTCTCATACTGCAAATGCAGTCAGCCAGTTATGCAATATAACAGCGCAAACCACTACCTTCACTATGGGATCTGTAACCCCGGTTCCATCTGCTACCACTATGACAATAAACAATGAGGTTACCACCCCTATGAGCACCTCTACCGTTGCTTCTATAGCCCCAAGTTTATCTACTCCAGCTACCGGAACAAAGGTAGAGAATACAGGTTCTACGGCCACCAACCCCGTAATAAGTACGACCACGGACATGGAAGGGCATGCACAAGTCCTCGCGCATGAGTAAAATAGATTTTAGCCCAGTGTTATCGACGCAGAACACGTATTAGTTAAAGGAGAAGCAACTAGCACGTCTATGTAGTTAGGCTTTTTTAGGAATATACATTCATGACGTTTGTGACTTTATCCTATCTAGGTATATAAACAATTTGGTGGATAAAAGACAAGAATGAGAGAATCTCACTTACTCTCGAGTACCAATGCTGCACTCCAACGATGCAACAAAGCCAAGTACGAAGTTGCCGCCTCAGCGACTCCTACCTGGGAGGCTGAGCATACAGGGATTGGGTAGAGGGAGAAATCCAATCGAGCGTGGCAAAAGACTTGTGACATGGACGAGTTCCCGCCGAAATATTTCCTTAGTCCAAATGACCCAGCTCTTGTCTGGGCCGGGAAAGACAAGGGGGGTCAGCGGGTGCGCTACCTCCCGGATTCGCAGAACCGGGCAGCTGGGTAGTTGTGGAAGTACGCGTGCATCCAGGGTCCTCTCGTGGAATTAACGGATAAGAAGTTGCTCGACCACATCAGCCGGAGTACCAAGAAGCCATCAACCAACCTTAAGCCCCAGCTAGAGCAATCTCATGGGGGGATCACTGTGGACATGCATCCCGAATTCTCGCTTACATGGGGGCACGCTGCCAATCCGCCCAAGGACGACAGTCTGTGGGATAATTCCTGCTGGCCCAGCGTCATCGCCGCTGGCGACCCAGGCTTCGTCCTCCTGTCCCTCGACAAGTGGAATGACAAGAACCCCAAGGGGTCGAAAGGGCAGAGGCCGAAATGGAATTACAACAAGTCGTATGTCAAGCGTCACAATGGAGATTGATGTATGGCTACCCATCCTATCATGGTTGCCACTTGACCGTCTTATCGCTGGATGCAGAGATAACTTTACATGTGTAATTACGTAGTTATATGCAGCTGCCATCCATGGAATCACATTGAAGTTTCACGCAATTGGGAATGCAGACGCCAATCGCAGCTGATTCTGCTGAGATGTTCAAGGAAGGAGTTGAAAATAACAGAAACATTGCAAGTGCCAGGTCATCTAGGCTGGTCGGCGTTTATCTTTCCGAAAGCAATGAACTCGCTAAACCTTGACCAAATACTGAGGTAGTTCTGGGGAGTCGGGAATAAGCGTTTATGCATATTGTAAACTTAGCCTCATGAGAGATGCAGATTTTGTAGAAAAGTGCAGTTCTATTCATGTAGGCGTGTTTTTTTTAATAGAAAAAGGAATGCCCAAAGGTACCACTGACTTGCAATGTTCTAATGAAACCACATTAAACAATTGGAAGATGTCATCTCATTGTGTGCTATTGAGTGATACTTGATACCTTTAGATAATTCAATCTATCTTTCAGCCAATTCCATTATTATTTGTAAGAGGGCTTGGCTTTTGAGGCATATATACTTCCGTATTGTACATCATCTGTTGGTTGTCGGGCATTTCGTATCACTTTTGCATGCCAAGCCTCCTTGCTGACTCATGCCAGGCAGCCATTTCCGGTCGTTGGGATATGCATGTGAAGTGTTGAAATTTCTATCCCAACATAAGGCAAACTTCAACCCCCTCCGTCGAAGATGCGACTTAGCTTTTCAATAACTATTTCTTTCCCTTACAATGAGTGAACCCCACCATCTTTCCCCTATGTCGAGTGAACACAGAAATCTCTCGTCACCGCCAAATTCACCTACCTCGGATGGCGAATATTCAGAATATTCCTCTACCTCGTCGTCGTTGCGAGGACCGCCGTATACTCCCGAGGAACTTGGTGCCATTTTCTTGGACTTTTACACATTTCTTACCACCCTACACTATGACCCGGCTGAGCTCAAAGTGCCCCCGCCTGGAGGATGGCCAGGTATGACGCCTGAGTTATGTGCACACTTCAAGTCCAACTTTGCGATTGAGGTACTGCGTCATCTGCCATACTTTGACTCTCGATGCAGGGAGTTTGTACATTACAAATCGAAATTGATAGACTACACCTCCTTTACCCGCGAGAATTTTGAGGAGGCGCGAGCGCGGGACGAAGACGAGGAAATCACTGATTACGACGGAAACCCAATGGATATGGCTCATGTTTTCCGTATCGCCAATGGCCGTGAGAGTGGCGGCCGATTGCTATTCCTAAATGTACGCGATGGCCTTCTCACCGAAGACTGGATACGCTGCGATGGACTTGGCCCAATGGACGTTAATGAATACTTTGGCAGGTTGAAAGAAAGCTACCGGCGGCTCCAGGTGATTCCTTGCCCAGGTAGGACCACCCTTGTTGAACCGAACGTGGACGACAGAGGGGACAAAATTACCAAGGAACAGGTGTGTGCGCAAACGGAAAAATGGTGCACGGAGTTAGATGTCCAATATATCAAGCAGATTTACCGGCATTATGGGTGGCCCGATGCGTTTCGCCGGGATAAATCGACGGCGGCCATCGACGAGCTAATGAGCTCTATGGTTGAACAACGCGAGGCATGGGAGAAACCTCTTCCTGAATGGCTTTCTGAGCCTTGGAATTACTAGATATAGGACGGGTACGAAATCATGTAAAATTTCACTATCCGCGTACCGTGCACCGAGAAATAGAGTTGGGGTCAGAGAAGTTGTTTGCGGAGATGATTGCCTGGTTAGGGTTCTAGCTATCTAGGTCTAGGCAACACTTTAAGGTTATAATTTTGTCTTTGCACGAAAATCTATCTTTCTAATTATACAAGCGCGAGAGCGCCGAAGGTCATTTCCGTCATTCTGGCATTACAATAGAGTATCCGTAGGGGATTAGTATACTTAGGGAGTAATTTGCTATTGAGAGCTTGAAGATGGCCCATGTAGATGAATTAGATTATATGAGGCAAAGCCAATGATAATACGAGTTTATATCTTTCTACCGTCATTACACTGCCTTTGCTTGTATTTACGCAAGATTATAAAAACTGTTGCCCAGCCTGTTGCACAATCAACGGACATGGATAGACATATATCGATATAACGCAACGAAGAGAAACCTCAATACTATGTATAAATACGTAGTAGAATATAAGGGTATAGGGTAGCAATTTGATGATTTGGTTTAGAAGGTTATAATTGCAACTATCTTATAAAAGTTCTAATACAAATGAAGCTGGAAATCCTTTTCCTTTTATCTTTATTTTTTGCATATTAATAAAGAATGTAATAAAAAGTTTAATACTATTAGAAAGCTTAAAATCAGGGCTTTCTACTAGTATAACTTATTTTTTCTAATTCCTTTTAGTTAATAAGTTATTAAATAGTCTTTATATAAGGTTTCTCAGGTGCATTCCTATTATCAGACCGGCGGGCGGCCTTCCGAGGCCTTCCGGGGCCTTCTAGGATCCCTGTTACCTTCCTTTACAGACTGCAAATAGGTCAGTTTGTTGATTTTTGCTGTTTTCCTCGATTTCGTAAGGGTACCCCCTTATGCCTTAAAAGTGGAGCAAATCCGGCAACCTGATTGGTCAGAATTGCTTATATAAGCAAGATTCTAGGCTTCTGATTGGTTGATTTCGTCGGGAGAACCTTTTGTTCGAATTTTTCGATTGATTTGAACACTTGAAAAATGCCCTGTAAGGTGCCCTGTAAGATAGGTCTTTTCATTAAGAAAAATGCCCTATAGCACCTATTTTTATAGGCTTTTTCCAGGGCTTTTAAAGACTATTACCTATATATCTAAAAAAGGCAGGGCATGTAAATGAAAGTGCTGTAACTTAAAGTTTTAGATGAGGTAACTGTTAGAAATAGGCTTTAAAAGCCCTGAAAAAGGCCTATAAAAAAAGATATTATAGGGCGTTTTTTTGGATTAAAAAGACCTATATGACAGGGCACCTTACAGAGCATTTTCTAACTGTTTAAATCGATTGAAAGATTCAAATAAAAAGACCTCTGAGGTTCTTCCGACAAAGTCAACGGATAAGAGGCCTAGAATTCTGCTAATAAAAGACATTGTAATAAATCAAGTGGCGGGATTTACGCCACTTTTAAGGCAAAAGGGATTAGAGTCTAGGGTAGGTATAGGGTAGTTACAGGGTAGGCGTCTCCTCCCGCCTTGCCTCCTGGGCGGGCGCTTCTGTCCATCGGCTCCGGGCTTAGGTGGAGGGTGGCTACAGGGTAGGTCCAGGGTAGGTCCAGGGTAGGTCCAGGGTAGGCCGTCTTTCCCCTCGGCCCCGGGGCAGGTGTGTCCTCCCGCCAGGGCGGGTGCAGGGCAGGTCCGGGGTAGGCTATCTTCCTCCCCGTTCGGCTGTAGGGTAGGCGCTCTATATATGTT